TAGACTATTTTTCCATAAATGTACTAGCTTCCATTTATTTACATTGAAACGCATCTGCCACCACTCTGCCAGTCAGTTTTGTGCAGTCCTTCCAGAGTTGTTCTCCACTACCATGCCACCTGAGTATCCAAAAGAAATTAACATAGTTCACAAACTTCGAGGGGTCCAAGTGTTTCCAGAAACAAGAGCCCAAATGCTTCCATCTTTCCCTGTGACCTTATCCCATGTTCCTGTGTTCTTCTGAGCATGTGCCACAGGACAAAAGAAACCAAAATGACACTCCCAGATCCGCAACACATCTCTCGGTGAGCTTGGGCAAGACATTTATTGTACCATTTTCTTCAGTTCCCCAAGTGAAGAATGGAGAAAATACCATTTTCCCACCACACAAAAGCACTACGATGACCAGTCAACTCATTCATAAAAACAAGGTGCAAGACCCTGCAGGGAAATGGCCATACAAACAAGTACTTAGGGCATGCAAGATCTGCCTCGGATGTCACCCATGCTACAGCCTCCCATGTCTGCACCAGACTGCCTCTTCACCCACGCTGCAGAGCTCTCTGGAGGGTGAACCCCACCATGCTCAGCTCCCCAAAGGGGTGTCCAAACATGCTTTCTCGATACCTGCTCCCAGGAGAGGCTCAGTACACAGCAGCTCAGCTCTGCTCAGCACAGTGCAGGACCATCCAAACCTGTCCAAGCCTGTGCAAGCTGACCACATTAAGAGAAAGCATGCACATCGTGAGGCTTGACGTGCATAAACCCCCTCCAGGTCCTTCTCTGTACACTGCAAAAGAGACACGTCCAGGAGGTGCTTGGAAATGTTGAGCAGGGTTAGATGGAACAGGACATCAGTTAGGATCAACCTTTTGTCTCTATATTTCTACGCTCACGTTGAAGGGATGAGTTTCATAGCAGCATCCAGCAATTTGCAGGGAAAAAAAAAGGAAGCTTTAGCTTGAAAGCACTACATTTCCTTTCTTCTTTCACTCCTCAGAACATTCTATTTATTTCATTTTCAGAGACTGTTTCAGACATTGCTGGGAAAAAGAAAAAAGGGTTTTAAGAGAGAGCTCAGACGTATTCTTTTATGCGACACATATGAATAATTCAATTTGCTGCCATCAATAGCTTGGGTTTCCTTAAATAAGCCATCTATCTAGGGGTTAGGAGGAAAACTAGCAGAAGTGTAATATGACAAATGATGTTTCTGGATAGAAGATGGCACTGTATTTACACATGAACTCCAACAGGAGGGTATTTCAGCTAGCAACTCATGTAATATTTCACTGCTGCCACATTTGACAAGCTGTCCGTCCATTAGTTAACGGCGTAAAGAACTCATAAGATATTTATAAGCGTTCCAGAGGTACCTAAATAGGGAATCATTTGATTTCAGGGATGGGCATTGAAAAGAGAAGTTTAAAACTTTGACAGAATGTACAGCCTTCTGCTTTCATGCCCAGTAATTGCTGGAGCAAAGTGGGGCTGTATATGCTAACGAGAGCCGTTTCAGAAATGTTTTTCCCTCCAGACAATTACGATTTTCATAGGCAGTCTGAATGACACTACAGTAGCACCTGAGAAACCATGCTAGTGAAAAAAGAAAAAAAAAAAAAGAAAAAAAAGTTAAACATGGCTACTGTGTTGCACCGATGTGCAGGATCGCTGCTTAGGATGTCTCCAGCTTCTCTACTACATGTCCCAGGTTCTTCAGAGTCCCCAGACTTGGGGAGGGGAGAAGGTGCCTAATTCTAGGCAACTTGTCAGAGACACTGGTGAGCTGGATAGACCCATCCTGAAGGGGATGATAGGTAACAGCACAGCAACTCCTGCAGCCTGGCTGGGTGGGCTCTTCAAACCAAAACCAAATCACTGTCAGTCAAAATAGCTGGTGTTTTTCAGAAACTTTCTCTGCAGCAAAGTTTTCTGCAGGAAAACAACAAACTTTCTGGCTATCAACAGCCCAACTGTCCTCAAAAATGAAACCTTGGCAGAAACACACTGACCAGCAGGGTCCATAAAAGCTATTTTCTACATCTGTCCATGGACTCCTGTAAGTATTGCATGGAGGTGGTCACTACAAAGGGGTGAGTTAGAGTTTTCTGCATTTCTAGGAAACTAAATACCTAGTCTTGAAAACCACTAGGCAGGCACTTTGCAGTAACACAGGCAGTGTGAGAGAGACGTGGGAGAAGATGAATGACTCACAAACCCAGGGTTGTTCTGTCTCCCAGAAGGCATTTTGCTGAGATGCTTGACTTGGGAATCCACTTGCCTTGCCCTGACATGTGGACAACAGGCGGTAACCTCCAGCTTTCAAGAGACATCAGCTGTTTTGCACCAAGCTCCCCTCTTTGCTAACATTTGAAAAATGGGGATATTTTTAGAGTATTCTCCCAGAAAGAAGTGCCAAAGTAGATCTGTGATGACAAAAAACTCTTACAAGAACTGAACCCTTATACTATGCAGGTCCCACCCCTTGATGAGCTCTGCCATGACAGTCAATGCGGCAAGACACTCAGCTACGTGCCGTACGTCCTCGATGGCAGAATCAAATCCTTCAAGGCTCTCTCCCAGTGTGGAAGCAAAACCTTGCACCTCTGCCGTATCACCCTCACTGTTCTCCTTTTAACTTCTGCTCCCAGTCCTGGTACTAACCCTTTCCACCCCACTTTGGGTCTGTTAGTAATTTGAAAAGGCATTTGTTTCTTATCAGTAAGTGGTGGGAATAAAAGCATTCTAGTGGGCTGGACTCACGCTGCATGATTTACGTGCTGTTTTTCTCATTTGCATAGACAGACAAATTTTTATATAGTCAACAGTCTGGCATGGTTCATTCCCCTACTCAGTGACTGCTGTCCTCAAATACTTTCCTTCCATTCCTGTAGTCTCAACATGTGAAGCTATGTCTCTAATGCACCTCTGTACTAGCCAAGCCCAGGAGATCCCCATGCATCTGGCTACTTGGATACACCATCTGGCCACACGTGAACCAGAAAAGCACAACACAGAAGTCACCTTTCTTGCTGGTCTTGTGCTGTCAGATGCATCTCTCCTCTCCTCCCCATCTTTCTACACAACCAGCCGCATCTGCAGAATCTGGATCTTCCTGGGATGAAGTTGCCCCCCATGCTGAGACCCCTTGTGCTGAGTGCAGTGGCTCAGCCGGTTGGTCATTTGGCTCCGGTTTATGGAGGAGTGTGAAAATTGCAGCGCTGCACTGGGTTGGCCAAGCAGCCCAGCAATGGAGACTGATACTGGGCTAGAAGCAGAGGCTTCTAGCAATTCTACCAATGCATGTGTTTCCAGTCAGGCAGGTCCTTCCCCAGAACTCGCCTTATTTTCTACTCGCTTTCTCCACTCTCTTGGTGCAGAAGAAGCCACGATACAGAACAGAGGATTACACATGGGTGTGTACTTTGTGAATGCCATTTTCCTCCGAGCCCTTTGTACATGTAGGTCAGGATGACTGTCCATACACTTCTCTGTTTATTAGCACGGTAGCGCCCTGCAGAGTTAAGTGAGGCTGGGAGTCCTGTGGTGCCAGACGCAGTACACCTGCTTAAGAAGGGATGTGTATGACCTCAAGAGGCTACAGTCCAGAGAAACAGGTCAGAAAGAAGGAGGAGCCAGGGAAAATGATGCACACACTGTCACAGCATGGTACATAATTTGCAAAGACACAGCTAAAGAGACTCTCTCCTTTCTCCCCTTGAGATCTTGAGGGAGAGGGATGAAATACCTTTCCCAGATCTTCAGTTTTACAGGTGGTTTTCTAAAAACAGGTGTTCTGTATGAAAAGTTGATCAAGCTCCTGTGGTACCACTTTGAAGAGACACCCTGACAGAAGGCAGTCCATTGCAAAGGCACCTGAAAGATCCCACCAAGAACGGGGAAAATATTTTTCATATAAAACATTTTTTTCTTTGTCCTGCATATCCTCCTGGCCTTTTTTAGCCCGTTCTCCAATAGTTGGCTAGAGAAGGTCTTGCTGGATTTGGATTGACAAAAGGGAGACACTTTTTTTTGCTGCCTAAATGTCAGGACAGATGTGTCAACAGCACCATTAGGCAATTACATGCCTGTTGCGGTCACTTGCATCACCACTGCATGAGAGAAACTATTGCAAAAAGGCAGCAACTAGGGATTTTGTTTTGATTAAGAAAATGGGACTTCCCACAGCCAATTTTGAACTGCTGTAGAAGGGTATGACTTGGGCTAACACCCTCCTATACCTCAGGGAGAAACTTTTTGTCTCCCTGCGGAGGCATTGAATACTGCATTACTGGCACACGCTGGGGAAAACACCTCTCTCTCCCTACCTTATCAATACAGAGAGAAAAGAGAATAAAAGAGAAGTTGATTTCCATAGTCTGCCCCATTTGGAGAACAAAATGTATCTTACTTTACTGTGAGCAATCAATGAAGCACGGGAACCTAAAAGAAAACACTGCATTTGGGATCTAATGCAGTGTTTCACTCCATCAGGAAAAAAAAGCTTTTATTTCAGTGACACAGGATTCATTGCAGCTTAAAACCCAAAGACTTTTGGGTTTGTGTTCATTCAGAGACAGGAATGTTTCGTGCTTGAGCCAGTGTGCAAAATCCGCTTTATGGCCAGATCAAGTTAGGAGAAAATAAGAGATGATGTTGGCCTGCTGAGCAAGACAAGCTCCAGGTACATGGACAGATGCTCCTGGCCCTGACCTTACACAGCATTTAAGCACACGGGTCACCTTCAGTTTCTGACCAGTCCATTCAGAAGCAGAAGGGAAATGCTGATGCCTGTTAGGGCCAGTGGGAATTTTCCCATTAGTCTCCACAGAGCTGGAGCTTTACACAACAAATAAAGATGACCGATCGCTCACTGTTCTGCCCGGAAGCGAGAGCAATACAGCTGATCCCATGCAGACCAGGTCTTGCAGGCTGTACACTTAACCCAAATACGCCCTCCTCCCCCCAGTCTTCCCCACATGTCCCACATGACATCTGACCTCTAGCTCCTGGAAATCCTCCTCTTCTTCCACATCATAGGAGAGGGTGTGAATCTTGATGTCATCCGCTGAGAGGTCGATGAACTTGCTGTCTGGGTACTCCAGGCTGTCTTTGGTGGGAGAGCGGTCCTCGATGAAGGTGGTTTCACAGCACTCTGAGCCGATGCTCTCACCCCACGAGCGCAGCACGTTCTCCGAGTAGAGGATAATGTTGGGCCGGTAGTGAGACTCCACTGTCTGCTTGCTCTTCTCCAGGCAGCTCGGAGATGAAAGGCTGCCCGCTCGGTGGCTCTGGTACTGGGGGGTTGGGTACACAGAGACCAGACCATCCCGGCTCTCTGCCACTAAGTTCCTCGTATTTATTAAACCATTCCTTTTCCCAGCTTCGGCGATCTTACTGTGCATCAGCACGCTGTTCTGCTCAACCAAGCCATCCATACTGGGAGGTGTCTGAGGGAGTGGGACAGTGGTCTTTACTTTGTTGTACCTCGGAGGCAGGTCACACTGGGGCAGTGGCTCCCATTTTCCTGACAAAGAAAAGAAATAGATACCAAGGTGAGTACACATATCAAGGCACCCAAATCAGCTTGTCTTTGGTATTACCTCATGAGGAAATACAGCCCCACATATGTGCACACACTTCCCTAGCTCTCCCAATATATCCCCACCTGGAGAGGCAAAAAAAACCCACCCCAAATCCATGGGGTGAACAGGAGCGGATGACATTGTGTGGTGACAGAGGACTTCTTGAGCTGTCTCGGTAATTGTGGGCCCCCATCAGAGGAGGGCTATAATGCCTCCTCCATTCTCCCATAGGTACGCCACTGCCATTCTGGGGACAATGTCTCTTTCCTCTAAAGGCTCTGCTAAGAGAAGTGGGAAAAAAACACTAAGATAAAAGATAAAAGAACCATTTTCAGTTCTCAGAAATCGCAATTACAAAGGGCAGGCAGCTGGTGTGTTCAGCTGTCAGTCTCTGCAGCCACCCTTCACCCTCAGCAAGTGCTTTACTACCCTTTGAAAGCCCGGCTAAAGGAAAAAGAAGTAGGCAGTACTCCTCAAATCAACTGAAAAAACACCACCTGAAGGTGAGATCAGATCTGACCCAAAGGAATTAAAACTCCTCTGGATAGGGTCTCAAAACCCCTATGTTGCTCTGGGTGCCCTAGTTCCGATATCTCTGAGAGTGCCCCGGTGCGACAGATTAAGGGGCTGTGATGGGGCTTGCCAGCGTGACCATCCCCATCCAGATTCACCTGGAAGACATGGAGGCACCGTCGCTTGAGCCCCAGGAGCTGGTTGTCTCCTTTTGCACAGGAACAACAGCTGTCCTCTGCCTCACCAGACCACCAGCCTGGCTCTGTTTCATGTGGGTTGCACTAAGGTGTAAGAAATCAAAGGGATAGTTCAGAAAGCTAAAATTATCTTTTCCAGCCCAAACACTTTCTCACCAGGACACCAGTTCTGCTCAGGTGCAGACAAAGGAAAATGCTTTTTGAATTATGGATGTATCTGCCACAGCAACAATGAGCTCAGGGTTTTGTTTCTGGGCTCGACCATAGAAATCACAGAAATGCTCCTGGCTTAAAGAGCTTCATATTAGATCCTCTAAGGCCAAATTCTTAAGGTAGGATTACCTGTCCCCAGTGTGCTGCCTGGAGGAAAACAAGAATTACACACACAAACTCACATACATACATACATATTATTTTTACTTGATGCTTTCTATTTCTTTTTTATATCAGAGATCCTCTAACAGAGCAATGGCTAGCAAAAGCCTAATTTTATTTCCTCTAAATAACTCCAGACTTCAAACACCTGCAGTCTCCCTTTTGGCTTGCAAGAGATATTTAAACCATTGCTAAGAGCGCGGCTTCTGTTCTTACACCACAAATGAAGGAAGAAACTCACTTAACATACAAGAGAGCTTAATCAACCATGCTGCAATGTTTGCATTCACAGCATTTGGTTTAACATGTAGAAACCCCATTCTATTATGTTCTCATATAGTTCAGTGCTTGTCCCAAGTGAACGGACAGGAAACCTACACAAGTGAAAATACATCACGGTAGGATCCCGTGGCATTTACACAACACAGCTCTCGGCCCCAAACCTCGGGAACCTGCTGGCAAAATTAAACCAATTTGCAGATTAACTCAGAAGCTTGGGCTCAGTTTCACCAAAGGATTAGTCCCAAAGCCCTCAATCCCTTTGCAGCAGACAAGACTGAGAGCAGGTGCCCTGTCTTTCCAAGGAAAACTCATTTCCACATGCAGCTCACCTGTGCTAAGTGAACAGGGGACCATGCCCTCTTCCTGCGCCCGGTGGGGCAACATCAGCCTGTGTCAGCACAGACACACTGGTGTAAGGTGGAGATGCTTTTGCAGGAAGCAAGCAAAGTTCTGCAGGTGGGAGTGGGTGGGGAGGCCAGTGCGTCTCACATTTGCCTTAGGACTGGTGCTTGCAGCGTGAGTCCTCCATCCGCCGCTTCCCACTGAGTGCTGGCAACCTGCAAGACCTCCTGCAGGCTGCTAAGCTGTCCCAATTCTGCTGTTTCAGAGGCTGGGGGGGCCCCAGCCATAACCTCAGCTGGGGAACATCCTGTGCTTTATCAGAGTTGAGTAGGACCACTTGCTCAGGAGATCATTCTGCTGTGTCTCCAACAGCTTCTTCCTCCCACCCCTCCCAAAGAAACAAAATGAAAGTACATCCCCACAGGCAGAAGCTGAGAAAAACTAGGCAGTTAAAGAGTAAGTTGTCAGGAGACTTTGCTCAGTTTCCCCTGAGCTGGCTTGGAGAAACTGCAGGGCTGCCTGACATGTAACAACCACCATCAATTGCACTGGAGTCTGAGGGACTTCACCCAAAACTGTAAACTGTCCCAGAAGCATTTTTAGCCCTGCTATTTACCCAAGCAAACTGAGTTGGTCAGCAGAAATACACCACGGATACAGTAGAAATTGGGAGAAGATGCGCAAATCAAACAGATCCCCTCCCAGAAAAATGGGTGAAGAGGTCGATAGTTGGTCACTGCATCAATGGCTGCAGCAACGCTTGGGTTAGGCCTTGCACCTCCATGCGGTCACATCATTCCAACAAACGGGTATTGTCTGGCTTGAGCAGCACTCGGGAAGATGCCATTTAAAGGCAGCTTTATCTCACACCTTTGAGCTGCGCTGTCACATTCCCTTCAGGTCGCCTCTGCATTCACCTATCATCCAGGTGACACTCAGCTCTGGAAACACAGGTCTCACCTCAGGCATTCCTCTGGTGCTCTACTGTCTTCATGGAAAATGCTCGCTTGTAATGGCTGCAAGTGAGGCTTTACAGCCATAGTGACACCAGAGGTAGCTGGTATGCAGACCAGTACGTGTTCCTCACGCAGTTTTAGGTGGTCATCTTGAAAGGGATGGATTACGAGGAAGGGTCACTCCCATCTATTTAAAGCTGATTTTCATGGGGACTCTCCAAAATGATGGGAAATGAAAAACATCCTTCATTCTTCTCACACTCCTCAGGAACAAGAGGAGAAAAGTAAGCAGAGGCCACAGAGGAAAACGCTTTAGTACACCCAAGTGACTTGAGACCCAGGAGCACTTCAGAATGTCACTGGGATGTCAGTGTTGTCAGGAGTCAGGACTGCCCTGCGCCATCTCTTTCTCCTAAATGTTCATCAGCCTACGTGATGCAGGAGCCAAGCCCCTTTTGCAAAAGGCTGATTAAAAGAGTCAATAACATCTGAAAAACATGATGTGGCTCCAAAGTCTCTGGAGTGCTGACACACAAGGTTCTGCAAAACATCTAAACCAGGACTACTCATGATGGCTTTGGTACAGTATGGCTGATATCTAACACCCCAAGGAACTGAGAGCAACCATGTTACAGGCTCAGGCCATCCTCCCTAATCATCCATACCAGCAAAGTGTTAGCACACTCCATAGCCTGGCTTCAGCCTGTGCCCTCTCCCAGACAATACCTACGCTGCAGTCAATAAGTGCCATACATGCTCCTGAGAAGCCCAAAGGAGAAAAAACACCTCATTTTGGCAGGTAGGAGAGTTTAGCGGCATGGACACAGTTGATGTTGGACCATTCAGCCTATAGGCAACAGGCTGGATCCTAGTATGCCTCATTCACTAGACGGAAGGAAGCTCAGTCCTACCATAGGTCTAATGATCCATCATCTGGCCAGTGTCTACCTGCCATGTATTTAAACCAGTCTTGTAAATCAATCTTGCAGATTCCGCGTGAAACTTTCCCCTTGGGATGGGGGAGGAGGGGAAGAAAACATCCGAAAAGAGGCAAGGACAAGACAGGGAGCATCCTTCCCACACAGAGCTCCTCCAGTAATAAGGCTAATGCATTGCTCAAGACATCCTCTCCAGAGTCCCACAGAGCAGTACAGCTTGCATGCCTCAGGGAAGGTCAGCAGAGAGACATGCGGATGGCAGCATACAATCAAGGAAAATTGTTTAACCCTAGAGTCATTTCAATCTGTAGCTGGCTGGCTACCTTACCAGAGCCTGACCCAATGTTCTCAGCTCTGCAAGTGTATTGTTTAATGGTAAGGAGCTGGCAAAACTCTTAGGCCTTTTCATTATGATACCATAAAAATAAAAAAGAAAAAAAAATAATAATAATGATGTGGCATTGATTTTTATTTTCCAGGTGAAATTCCTGAGTGGCTGGTCATTAGGTTTAAATCAACAGCACCTTGATTGCCAGTGCATTTTGATGCATAGCTGAAACAAGGTCAATTGCTGTCTAGGGAAACTGAGAAACAGTTGAGGTACCCAGAGATTCTTCATCAATAAAAAGGCAAGATTAAGAGCGTTGTCAGACACAAATGAAATTTAAAGTCCTCATGGATAAAAGAGAACCTTCCCTCGGCTTTTCTCTTCCCAACCACCAGCTGAAGGGAGTTAAATCAGATTTCCAAGGCCTTTGTAACCTGCTGCTACCTCAGTATTGGGGGGAGAATTAAACTCAAAGACTGGACTTCATTTCACCTACTGCAGACACCCAAAAATGTTTCCCTGGAGAAATAAATTGCAGTTATGCAGGGTGCACAGGACTGATGGGCTCAGTCTGCCTTCAGAGTAACAATAACCCTTTAAAATACAGGGGAGACCCTCTCAGCATAATACTAACCTTCAGATGAGTGAAGCAGGTGAAATGAGTCCCTCAGGTTCAGATGGAAGAGCAATGAACGGGGCATGCGGCCATGAGTGATGCTTAGGGGCAAAACGCAGCATATGTGCTCATGCAGTGGCTCACAGCCTGTATCCTGCCTACAGGGTCTCCTTGGAGGCAGAGGTGGATTTAGCCACCATCCTTTCATCAACGGCTTTCACTGACCTGGCCCAGGCCAGGCTCATGTCTGCAACTCACAGGCAGGCCTTTAAATTAATACTGCCCCAGTTTCCAGGGCAAACTGCA